GACAGAGCCTCAAGCTGTCCCCCTGGGTAGAGTGCTGTGGCATCATAGCTCACAGCAACCTCCAACTCCTGGGCTCAAGCCAGTCTCCTGCCTCACCCTCCCAAGTAGCTGGGACCACAGGTGCCCGCCACAACGCCTGACTATTTTTTGGTTGCAGCCATCATTGCTGTTTGGTGGACTTGGGCTGGATTTGAACCCCCCACTTTAGGTGTATGTGGCTGGCACCTTAGCCACTTGAGCCACCAGCGCCAAGCACAGTTTTCTATTTTTAGTAGGGACACGGTCTCACTTTTTGCTCAGGCTGGTCTCGAACTCATGAGCTCAAGCTAGCCACCTGCCTGGGCCTCCCAGAATGCTAGGATTATAGGAATGAGCCACTGTGCCTGTCCAATAACTACTATATCATAGACTGGGTGTGAGACTTGTATGAGACACACCCAAACACATTGAAAGCAAACAACAATGATTAAAAGAAGGTTTGGGGGACTGGGCGTGGTGGCTCATGCCTGTAATCCCAGCACTCTGGGAGGCCAAAGCAGGTGGATTGCCTGAGCTCACAGGTTCAAGATCAGCCTAAGCAGGAGTAAGGCCCTGTCTCTAAAAATTGGTGGGCATTGTAGCAGTCGCCTTTAGTCCAGCTACACAGGAGGCTGAGGCAAGAGAATCGCTTGAGCCCAGCAATTTGAGGTTACTGTGAGCTATGACATCACAGCACTCTACTGAAGGTGACAAAGTAAGACTCAATTAAAAAAAAAGAAAAAGATTTGGGGGCTTCTGTCCTCTAAGAAATCTTGATGGTGACTTAACTCCACCTTTCTCCAAATCTTGCTCCTTCTTCCTTGCTATTTTTTTCCTTCACCTCTAGACCCCATCTCAGACCAGCAAAATGTTACCCTACTTTTTGCTGGTACGTTTTTCTTCTCTTCCCCACCCCTCTTCAATCCTCTCTTGTTCAGGGCCAATTTGTATAGTAGGGCACGTTATCCATCATGTAAGGACCCAGTCAAAAGGAAGATCTGGAGCTGAAATTGGCCTATCTTTAGCTCCCCAAGCTGCATTCCTTTCTGTGAGGAGGAATAGACACCTTTTAATAATTTGTGCAAAGACATTATTCTTCCATAAAGCTGTGCTTCTGGGGTACTCACTTCTCAAAGATGATGCTTTGCAATTTTCATTAATATGCCACATAAGCTAATGTCATCCCACAATTACTCATCCTTTCATGTTCTTTTCTTTTCTTTTTCTTTTTTTTTTTTTTTTTGCAGTTTTTGGCTGGGGCCAGGTTTGAACCCACCACCTCTGGTATATGGGGCTGGCACTCTACTCCTTGAGCCACAGATGCCGCCCCTTCATGTTCTTTATTCAGCAATTATTAAGCATCTATTGTGGTCCAGGAATATGTCTAGGTGCTGAATATATTGTGCTAAACACACACATTTGCTACTTTTGTTTTACAGTCTAACTAGGGAGATACTACTCCATGTATACTGCTTATCCAGGGGTAAACTCCAGGGCTGAAGCAATCCTTCTGCCTCAGCCTCCTGACTAGCTGAGACTACAGGCACCTGCCACAACACCTGGCTAGTTTTTCTAGCACTGCATTTTTAATAGAGAAGGGGTCTCACTATTACTGAGGCTAATCTCGAACTCCTGAGCTCCTGCCTTGGCCTTCCGGAGTGCTGAGATTACAGGCATGAGCCATCTTACCAGATTTGAACATTGGTAAAGTGGGACACCACTGAGGCGGGGGGTGGGG